GTGCAGCCATGCCACACACGGGAGCGTTGCGGTACTGCCCACCGCCCAGGCGCCCGGCGCGGTAGGCAAAGTGCAGCCATGCCACACACGGGAGCTGGGAATGGTGTTGTTTAGTACCTTTGTTTTACCAGTATATTTGAGTGCTCTTTGGGACGGTTGCGTTTGTCAGGGCGGCGCAGGGGGTGCTTCATGTTAGGGACGGTAGATAACAGGTGCTGCAGTTGCCACTGCTCCGCGAGCTGGAAACAGCTCTGACTGTTTGTTTGCACCTGGACCGTGGCCTGGCCTGGCCGGGCCGAGTGGACCCTGCCCCCAGGACCCCGGTGGTGGACCCGGGCCGGCCGGGCCGGCTGATGAGATAAAGGGAGATCCGCAGATGGCGGGTCGTCGTCACGGCCGCGGACTTAGGTGCGTTCAGAGTGTGGGCGGCGGGCCGGGCGAGTAGTGCTGAGCTGACCAGAACGGCGTGCGGACCATCAGAAGCCGGATTCGAACAGAAGCGCGCGGGGAATACGGTAAATAACTCTGCATACTGCATTAGGTCGCCGTAGCGAATGGGAAATGAGGAAAAAGCGGCCGATTTCCACACCCCCTGACTGACTTTCACTATCGGCTGGGTGTTTGGGCGAAATGGGAATAATGCACGCACGCTCAAAGTCCTAGTGGGCGTTTTCGTTTATAGCTAACGAGTCTGTGCAATGGCAAGGTAACAGTAATAATATTGTTCTTTGCACAGTTAAAAATATGCTACAACGACTTCTTCGTGAATTGCTTACCCTTGTTTTGTTTTGACAATGCGGTACCCACAATTTGTTTGGCTGTTATCAAAAAAAAAAATGTCGATAAGAAAAGTAATTAGCTATATACAACACACTGGCGATCGGACAAGGGGACGTAAGTCCACAAAACGTAACTTTTTCATTTGAAGGTTTTTCGGTGCAAAAACTATATATTATAAAACTATCCCGAAAAACAATCGACCAATTTTTTGTTTTTGTTTTCGACTTGCGTATTTTTGTTAGATTACCTGTATATTGTTCCGTTCCGAGGTGTCATCTCATGAATACACATTGATCGTCTATCAAAGTCACAACAGTATTGAAGTGTGCAGATCGCGAGGAAAATGGATTGATGTTAGCATAATAAGTTTGCACTCTGATCACGTGAATCCTTTCTGTTCGCAGAGCGCCATGGGGTCCCTGGACGCGCTCGCGGCCGTCGTGCTGCTCATGGTGTTGTGCTCCACCTCCAGAGTCGTGCGGTACTACATCAAGTGGGCCGTGTTCGTGGTGTGGTCCACCGTGTCCGCCTGCGCACCCATCCCGCTCATGCTGTTGGACCCTCTGAGCTGGAAGAACGCCCTGTGAGTATTTCGTACGCACAAGTAAATGAAGCAGGCATGAACAGTTGATTATTGTTGGAAAGAAATCTTTAAAACAACAAAAACAAAAATCAAAACAATGTTCAGTTGTTTTAGTCGGTTCGGGGGTGTCGCTGCTCGCCGATTGCCTCACACCCACACGACACCCATTCAGCGACCATTATAAAGTGCTGATATACATCCGCAACATTTTTATCTTAGTGCGAGCCCCCGCCCTCGAGGCGTCGGACCCCTTAATAAAACTATATCTCATGCTAATTCCGAGTAAACACACTTGTCGTCGGATGGTCGAGTGGGGGTGCTGCTAGGTGCTTGATTGTACTTGTCACTGGGTGCAAAGTACTTGCTCTTGAACCCGCACGGTCTCCCCTGCGCAGGTACCCGGCGAGGAGCCTGAGGGTGCTCACGCGGCTCTTCGGCATCCACATGGAGGTCTCCGGCACGGAGAACATCGTGGACTCCGGCTGCGTCGTGCTCCTCAACCACCAGAGCCTCCTCGACCTGCACGGTGAGTTACGGCGCATACCTTGGCATCGACGGCTGGTGTCATCGAGGAAGTAATGACGACACAAAATTGTGGCGTGAACTTAATCATTCATATGACAATTAGTGGACAACGAGCGGTGGTTAGGTCGTCAAACGTACACTGCTGGGGCTGGGCTCTAGCTGGAGTGCGACAATCTTCCGTCAGTTAAGTGCAATTTACGATTCACACATTTTATTGCACCTGGATGCGGTAAAACAAAACAAACAAAAACAAGAATTGAGCACTCTAAAATGACATTTGCCGTTGAAATCAAATACAATTATGACAGTTACTCACGTGCGATCTTTCATTGTAGTAAAATGCTGTAAAAATGCTTTGAAAACTGCAATATATTTTCATCACTCCAAAATGTGTAAAAAGTAGGGCATTTTGGTAACGAATCACAATTTAGTGCAATTATTTTTTTTACTGCTCCGGGGAAGCCATTCTAGGAAGTGATTTGCGATACGTTTTCAGAGCCATAGATAGACTGCACTGGAGATGACAGAGTTGTTATGGTCATCCGTTGTCTCGGCGCTTTCCTATACTTTTCATTGATTAATCCAGGCCGATGGAGGCACCTAAACGTGCAACTAGCTGAACCGGTCTAAACGCTTTATATATAGACAGTCAAACAGAAAACTCCTCTTTTATTTGCCGGCGGCAAAGCAGGTGCTCGCTTCGACAGTGCCAGCCTGCGTCAAGAAACGCGCTGAGCGCGCGAGCCCGTCGTGATGGTGCCTTCCAGGGGCCGGCGTGGCACGGCGTGGTCTAGCGTGACAGTACACCCCCCCCCCTTTTTTTTCCCGTCACCCACCTTCCCAAGCACCGGACCTACAAAAACTCACCCACGAATGGTCGTGATCCTAATTGCGACGACATGGTAGGGACATAGTCCTCACGAACGACGCCACACGGTCGAAAATAGAATATAAATGTTCTTCCCGGTTCTTCCGCGCAAGTGACGCCGACGCCTCTAACAATGGGAAAATGCGTGTGTCACGCTCTAAAGTTTTTACTAGAAAATTTGCCGAGTAGCTACTAGGCGTTTTGTGTGAAATCCTTTAGTAATACTAGAGAATTTCTTGATAAGTTGTAACAGCTCAAAACGCGTAGTAGTTACGAAGCAAATTACTTAGTAAAAACTTAACAGTGTATTGCGGGATTTAAATGTGCGAGGAGGCTACTCAGGTGCGAAGCTATAATAGTCGTAAAACTAGCCTACCCAGCGATCTGGCGGACGTGCCGTAGTGTCCTGTTCCGTGCATCACGGTGCGTGCGTGCGTGCGTGCGTGCGTGCGCGCGCGTGCCTGTTCACGAAGGTCCACCACGCCCGCCCCCTTCTTTGTCCTCGTGGCGGGCCGGTCGGAGGTCAAGTCCAGGTGCCAAATGGCCGAGGTGCGTCGGAGCGTGATAGGCTTCGCCAATCGCAATGTCAAAGTGCACCGCGTAACCTA